AGTAATTGAATTCTTTATTGTTTCAAATCATTTACATTATGAGAGTACATCTTGCTCAATTAGCTGGCTTGTTTCTGCTGGTGACTTTGGATGAATCTAAATACCTGAAAAAGAATGAAAAAAATCGAAGTTAAATTCTAATTATTTCGGAGTTTAACTGAAACGTGTTCTGGTCCATCTGTATCACTGTGACGCCAACTCATCGAATGAACTTTCTATGTTACAGGTGGCCAGCATCAAGTCCAGGCATATCCCTTTGGACAAGAACCAACATCACTTCCTATTTTACTAAGACTGTACCATAAAAATGAAATAAATAGCAGCATTACTGTCAGCGACACTCTTATGATTTGACTCCACTTCCCCACTAAAATCAACACATGACTAAATAGTTTACGCTCAAGTAATAAGCCGTATATATGGAATGAGGATAAGCAGTAAAGAAATGACAAGTAAACCCCAAATAGAAACAATACCAAAATAAACATTTACCAAACATGACCACCATACTGTACTGGTATTTTCTGTTAACATTACATTGAAAGTCAAAACTTACCAGATTCAATCCTGCGATCATGAGAAAAAGGGGCCATTTCTACTGTTGTGTGTGCTGTGACGCCAACTCAACTTATATCTGATGATTCCGTGGGCTGCACGGCTGATGTCCAGGACAGGTACACTTTCAGGCCTATCTTCCTGCAACAAACCAAAGAGTTGATTTTAGTTGAAGAAACGAGATGAAAAAGAGCACGCACTTTTGACAGAGAAGGTCAAAGGCGACTCTTCCAGACCAACCCTAACCATTTCCAGCGATTTTCAAATTTTTCATTTTTGGCAAAATTTACAAAGGCTATAAATTGATGGGTCCGGATTTCGACGGAGGAGTATTCGAATCGACAGGGGTGAACCAGGGACCACAAAACTACCTTTGGTTCTGTCAAAAACCACCCGGCCTGTTCACAGAAATTTGAGTTGCTTAATCTTCGCCGAAAATGTGCTTTTACAAATAGAAAATCGAACAGGTTAACCGATGTTAGCCGATAATTCGATGAAAATTATTCACCTACCCTCGATTAACCGAATAAAACTCCAACCCGTGGTGACAGCATAGACACTATGTATCGCCATAGAAAACCCTACAATACAAACTTCTTCATTAGTCGGAGATAGAAGTGCATACTGATTTCCGAAAACAACCAAAGTTTGGTTAAATAACTAGTTTCCTACTTTATTTTAGACATACATTTCAATGTGCCTTAGAGAAGTCAAAAAAAGAGGTTATGTTTGTGAATGAGACTTATCACGTTTGCGTTCTCCGCATCTACGTATAGACAGAGATAACACTATAATGTAGTATAATTTACGAAGACGAAACTAGAACAAAAAGAAAACAACAACGGTTTCTTACCTCCGCGGAGTCACGGACAGTCAGAAGATCAGAAGCCTAACAAACTTTTTCCGCAGAGAGTGAGAGTGTTGAACGTACGTAGTAGTCTCGCTGCAGGGTATGTGATGTGCTTTGGCGAGAGCATGGGGTATCGCCGCTCAGGCGCTGAGGGTAGGCCACCATCTCCACACAGACACTTGGCGGGCGGGCCTACCCGACGAGCCGCGCACGCGTTGTCATTCGGAATCGATAAAAGTGGCTTTTCGACTTGCCCGCACCAACATATATGAAACGAATTGAATTGAAGTTAAAAAGATTAATATTTCTGAGTTCATTTTATTGTCTAATATGAGCATATGGCACACAATTGAAGGTAGCGGTGATCCCACGTTTCACAAAAACTCCTCGAGGAGTTGTTGCAACAACCTTTTTCGATCATTAATCTGATTTTGTTGTTGTTGTTTTTTTTGTTAGTGGGAGAATGTGGGTTTCCTGTGTCCGCAAATACAAGATAACAAATGCAATCGATAGGAATATTTCATAAAATAATTTATTACAAGATCTCCCAGCCTGCAACTCAATAGCAAGGTATATTTCATAATATTTGAGGCCCGATTTTAAAAGCCCTGCTACTCGTTAAAAGCTAGAAGAAAACAATATCTTTTTTATCTGCACCGGGTTTTCAGTTGGCTGAAAATCGGTTAGAACACTAAAAGTAAACTCACGACACAAAACTTGGTAATTGTTCGTGGTCAGGCAGATCTTTGGCACACAGACCCGTTAGCACCGAAGCCTAACGGGCTGGTCACAGTTCACGGAATGGACGGTCAGTCTTGCTTTCTAATCCTGGCATCCCAGTGAGAAATTGTTCTTAAAACGATGTCGAATCGACGCCGAATCGACGTTGTTTCCACGTTGACGAGACGTCGAAGCGGTGTCGTTTCGACGCCTCCTTTCTCAGTGGCCGCTGGTCGCCCCTCATTGAGACTTGGCGCTTAGCCTGGAGTCCGCCGCGACCTTGTCGCCGAACGTCTTGTTTCCGGCGGTGCCCTCCACCAGGACTGCGTTGATGATGGCGGCCGTCTCCACGTTGTCCAGCATCGTGTTGTGGTCGCCCTCAACAAAGTGCACGGGGATGGTGTCCTGTGCAAACTGAAACACACAGAGAACAGAGGTCAGCCGGCCGGCCGGCTTCAAAGTGAAGGAGAGTACTTCGCACCTAAAGGAAAAAGACTGAAAAAAAAACAAACACGAAAATTTTGGGGAAATTTTCATAAATTTTCCTGCAACCCCATTTCAACCCCATTCGCAGCAAAGTCAAGTTAGCTTACCAGGTCGGTAAGGCCGCAGTCTTCCTGGTCGTGCTTGAATGTCTGGCTCGTCGGCCTGATGAGGGTGACGGTGGATCGAAGCTTTTTCGCCGATGACGGGGGTCGGTAGTTGTTGACGGCCACTATCCGGTTGACGAAGGACCTGAAGGCGGCCGCCATGCCCTTCTTGCTGTGCGCAGCAGTCTTGCTTTTCTTGGGGATGATTTGCCTCAGTCGCCTTTCCAAGGAGGATTCCTTGCACAGGCGATCTTGTGTCTGTTGGAGTGAATCCAGTTAAACGCGGTAGAGGATAACAGAAAGCAAAGTTCACATCAATTATTACAACAAGTTTCTGACATGACAGCTAACAAACAATTCGTACCTCCAAAGGACATCTAAAGTTGTCGAAGTCTGACTGATTGGTCAGGAACCACAGTCGGACTAGGACATCCATCTCCAGCTCTGTGGTGTTGCCGTCCTCCTTGATCCAGACCTTGGTGAGCTCCTGCATACCGGCGGGCGCGCCGTCCAGCAGCACCAGCTCGCCCACGTGGCCGTCCTGCTCGAGGAGGCGCACCAGCTCCGTGGACACCATGCCGCCGAACGAGTAGCCCACCAGTTTGAAGGAGGCCTTGGGCGCGAGGTGGGACTTGATGTGCTGCAGGGAGATGTGTAAAGTCAATGCGTCGTCGTCTTAACTGAGCTTGATGCGGAGGAGAAGTAGTTTCCAATTTACTCACTTTGTACACCGACCGGGCGAAGTCCTGGATCGTCGTGCTCTTCTCGTCGGTGTAGGGCAGCTGAAGGACCAGTGTGGGCGCCTTGATGTACTCGCACAGCGACTGGAGCATGACGGCCATACCTGCGGACGGTCGGTTAGACGGGGCGGACGTCAGTTAGGCGCTCGGCCCATCGAGACAATGTTTCTGGGGAGGAGGGAAAACGCGGTGCGCAGGCTTACCTTCTATACCAGGGATGAGGAAGACTGGTGCAATAGAGTCCTCAGAGTCCTGGGGCGCCTTATTCGGCAGAGTGATAGGTTGATCGGTCACGTCTTCCGAGCCGATGGACTTCAAGAGGTACCGCAACGCCTCCCACCGTCGCAGCCGAGCGAGGGACGCATTCAGTTCTTTAATCACTCTCTTCCAGGGAAGCTTCCGCTGCGCAATCCCGTCCAGGACCTCCTGCACCATCTCCCGCACCGTCTGGGCGTCCTCGCCGCCGAGCGCCATCACCCGCTCGTCCTCCATGTGCCCGAGCAGCGCCCGGAACACGGCGGACGGGGCCTCGCTCATAGCGCAGAAACCCAGAGGTGTCCAGTCCTGCCAGCACCGCCTGTACACGGTGAAGTCCCCCCATACCGGAGACTTCCCCGCCTTGAGTCTGTTCTTGTAGTGCTTCTCCAGCAGCTGCACCTCCCGCGTGAGGAGGTGCCTCACCACCCACAGCGAGCCCGACGTGGCAGCTAGATGCAAGGCCGTGTGCCTCGAGGGGAAAATCACTTGCGAAATAATTCGAAATAAAGGCAAAATAGAGCGAAATAATCCCGAAATAGACGCAAAATAGTCGGTGAAATAGTCGCGAAATACTCCTGAAATACAAAGAAATACCGCGAAATACCCTGAAATAATCCGAAATAGGCGAGAAATAACTGAAATAGCAGCAGAAATACCAGAAATAGCCCGTACGCTACGGACCCAAGTGATTTCCCCCTCGGTGTACCCGTGGCTGCTGAGGTGCTGCAGCAGCGCTAGGCGCTTGGGCGCTTCGCCCTTCTTCAGCTTATTCAGTGCCGGCAGAAGCACCTGCACCACGGCCAGGCGGCCGTTCTCTGCGGCCGCGTGCAGCGGCGTGTCGGCGGCCTCTTCACCGTGCAGGCGGGCGCCCTGCGCGATCAGCCACTCCACCACCGGTGCGTGGCCTTCCCGTGCAGCGAAGTACAGAGGCGTTTCATGAGCGCTGATCAGCTTCCATGTGTTCATGTCCGCGCCCAGATCCACCAGTCGCTTCGCGGCCTCCAGCTGGCCGTAGATTGCGGCCACACACAGTGCCGACGTACGCTCCCCCAAACCATTCCACAGATTGTGCAGCTTCAGCTTCCTGTAGGTGCTGCTTCGCTGTGTGTGCTCGTGCTCCCAGAGCGCGTTGATCACCTCTACGTTTCCACCCGCCGCCGCATTGTGAAGTGCGGTCCATGACTTCCTATTCCTCTGCAGCAGGTCGGCCCCACGACCCAGCAGAAGCTTCACCAGTTCAACGTGACCGTACATCGCGGCAGTGTGGAGCATTGCACCGTCCTCAATGGATATCCTGAGGTTCACAGCCTCCGGCCACCAGTCCAGTAGCGCGGAGGCTACTTCGACGCTCCCCCCTTTAGCTATGCCCAATGCAGCTTCATGTCCAACGTCACAGTCTATCGCCGCACCACGCCTGTGCCCGTGTAGCTTGTCGATGAGGGCGCGGGCCACGTCCACGTGCCCGAGGAACCCGGCGTGATCGAGAGCGACCCAGCAGTCGGTGTCTGAGGGCTGCGGGAGGAGTGGCGGCGGCGGCTGCAGGAAGAGCCCCACGGTGGCAGCGCTACCGCTGGTCGCCGCGTGGTAGAGAGGGCTCTGCGGTCCCATCTTCCTGTCGACACCTCCAGTCAGGAGGTCGTAACGCGCTCCAGCCTGCAGCAGCACGCGCACTGCATCCTCGTGCCCTCCAAGACCAGCATGGTCTAGAGGAGCGATCTTGCCGTTACTGATGTAGTTGACGTCGTAACAGCGAAGCAACGATTTCAGTACATCGGTCCGTCCCTTGGAAGCAGCGCTGTCGAGTGGAGTGAACGAGAACGCATCTGGCCGTGGTCTCCCTGAGACAGACAAGCCAAGAACGGGGTTACAGCTTAGCTTCGTCATCTTTGGTGGTGCAATTGCCGCTAATAAACCTATCGATGAGTGAGAGATCT